TGTGTGTGTGTGTGTGTGTGTGTGTGTGTGTGTGTGTGAGAGAGAGAGAGAGAGAGAGAGAGAGAGAGAGAGAGAGAGAGAGAGGTAGAGAGATAGAGAGAGAGAGGTAGAGAGAGAGAGGTAGAGATAGAGATAGAGATACTTTGGCATTCCCAGCAGCCAAGCCCAAGTCGTTTCAGAGCATGTCTTTAGACTCCACTGGGCTGTGCCCCGAGTGGGCCTTTCTCGATCTCAGTGGCAGAGAGTTCTGATACCTTGCAAGTTGGTGCTGGCCTTGGAATCATCTGGAAGAGCCCTAGAAGTCTGCCCTCAGTGCACTGATGGTGAGCTGGCCATGTTTAACCCGAACCTGACAGCCTCTTCTTTTTGTTCCTCTTTCTTCCATTTTAGATTGAGAAAATCATGAGCTCTATTGGAGAAGGGATTGACTTTTCTCAGGAACAGCAGAAGATCTCAGGTATTGTACCAAGAAGCCGTCTTCTCCACGGCACACAGACTTCTGGCCCCTTTTGGGCTCAGGTTTTTCCCCCTGACACAAAAGACAGACGCTGAGTGGGTGAGAGAGGTCAGCCACAGACCACTTCATGGTCTTGAAAATCAGAATCTTATATATCTAAGCAGCCCATCTAGCTGTTATTTTTAGAGCCTTGACTACCTTTACATATTAGAGGGGAATGTGTATAAATTGAATTTCATTTAGGCTGCCTATTAAGAAACTTTTTTTTTTAATGAACAATCGTCACTCAGTTTTTTTCATAGATGTAGGCTTTCTCTGATTGACTTATATTGGAGCGCCCCTCAGTGTTGGTTTCCCCAGCTTCCCAGGGGGCTCTGGCACTCCCTCTTCCCGGGAACATGGCTCTCCTCTGCCTAATCCATGACAAGGGTGGAGCGTTGGGTCTGAGACTGTTAGCTTGCTTCTCTTGGAGGGGTCAGCTTTACTGTTTCCTCCTGTGTCTGTTTCTCCATTCTTCCATTTACTTAGTCACTCATCATTTTTACTTCAGATCACTGCTACTTTGGTGGTTCTTTCATTTCAAAGCCATAGGGGTGAGGTCTGCCTCTGTTTCTTTCATTTGAAACGGAACTAGGGAGGCCATATCTGAGCTATTTTTCTTGATAGTAGACTTGAGGTTGTGTTACTTTCTAAGGTCAGGTGACATTCTTCAAGATGCCTCTCAAAGCAGCTCCCACACTCCTTCCCCCAAAGCATCTGCAGATTGTCCTGCTCCCCCTCCCCAACCTGATCTCTTTCTCCTTGAGGAAATGCTCCCCTCCACTGAAAGGGTAGAATTCCTTGTTCAATCAGGAGTTTCCATCCAGGATTGACCTGTTAGCCCCAAGTGACTTTTCTGTTCCTCCATGGGCTTCTGGCCCTGACAGGAAGTCTGATGGGTGGGGGCAAATGTACACATCAGGGAGAAAGGACCTGCTGAGCCCATGAGGCTTGTGGACAAAGTATAGGCTCTAGAGCCTCAGTCCTGGCTTCTGATCCTAATTCTAGATACTTGTGTGTCTTGGACAAGTCATTTAATCTCTCTGAGCTGCCAGTTGCTCATTCACAACACTGGGATAATGGTACCCACCTCATAGGTTTGTGGGAATGAGTACCGTGTACAAATACTTAAGCTAAAGAGGTTCTCAGTAAAGAGTAGCTATCCTTGTTTTTGTTCACGAACTCGTTACTGACTGATATTGAGAAACCTAGAGAAGAGGGGCATCTGCTCTCCTGGCTTGTCTCCCTGCATCATTTTTCAGACTGGGTTCCTGGAGCCACCCTCCCTCCAGCAGCCTTGTTTCCCAGGCTGGGTTTGGTCCATCTTTGTCAGTCTTGGATTATGGTAGGGCCTGAAGAGGTGGCTCTTTTGACTAAGAGTTTGTGGGTCTGTTTCCAGGTAGTTGCTTACTCTCAGGCAAGTAGGGTCACACTGTTGTAGTTTTCAGGCTTTTCCAAGGGTCAAGTATTGTGGGTTATAGAAGTTCAGGACTGAGACAAACATTGCCATTTTCAGCGCTATGCTTTGGGCACAGCCAAGAACAGGATCAATGATAGTTCAGTTGAGTCCACTTTTTGCTTCCCTGGACCCCTCTGTGTCAGAGGAACCTCAGTCACTTGTGTGTGCCTGAATTTTGTGGTCAGAAGCAAACCATTACCTCTTGGCTTTGCTAAGTCAGGAGATGTGGCAGCATCTCTAGAAAACACTCTTCTAGAAGAGCCCTTCCCCTTAGAAGTGGTGACACAGAACTCTTTCTTTACCCGGCTGGTCCCACCCCCATGCACCCATGTGAGTGGCAAGAGTTGGTCCTGCTATTTCCCGAGATTTCTGGATCTCAGAAAAAAACTGGTTTTAGTACTTGTCGAGTTGAACCATCATCCTCCATATCCCAGCTTAGGAAGTCAAAGGCAGGCAAACAAGGGAGGCTGCCCAAAGAGAGGGTGTGTACACTTATGCTGCTGAGCCCCAGCCCACTTTATCTTCACCACTGCCAGGCCTTGAAGCATGGAGAAGGTGAGTTCAGCCAGCCTAGGAACCCTGCGTTCTGCCTGTTGAGTCAGGAGGGGACTTTGCCCAGGACCTCAGGGAGCACCAGCCTTCAGCCCAGACCAAAGCAGAATTCTTGTTTATTTTGAATATCAGTATCAGGGTTCAGATTGTCCTTGGGCTTCTGGATCTAGGAGAAGAGACCTAGGCTCTAGGTTTGCCAACCAGATTGGGGTAGCAGATCCTTCTAGCAGCCAGCCCTTAACTAAACATGGTGTTGCCTGGAGTGGCTGGTTTTATAGAGGATCACATACTGAAGGATAAGACCCTATATTGCACTTGAGTCTCAGTCCTGTTTTGGACCATGGGCCCCTGAGCTGCTAGCACTAGAGCTAGTTATCTGAATCCCCAACAGACATGGTTTACAACTCGTCCCACAGTCAGGAGTCCAGGAGGATAAACCTTCCCACTGGCCCAGACCACTCTGCTTATTTCAACAAAGACCTGTTCTGTCAAGCAGAAGAGACCCCTTGGCTTTCATTTGCTAAAGCCAGACATTTTAGCTGTTAAGCAGCTGCTAAATGCCAGCTCCTCCTGGGGCCTGATCTCCCACCACACAGAGTCCCTTCTTTGCCAGAGCCATCTGTAGTCTGTTGGGATGCAGGTGTCCCCCAGCATGTTTAGAGGGTAGCATGTGGTCCCTGGGTTGTTGTCTCTGTACATGTTACCCTTTTTGTCTCCACAGCTGTACTTGAGATTTGGTCCTGGTTTCCCCTTGTCCTTGGAGCCTCCCCTCTTGTGCCCTCTTCTCCAGAATGTGAGTGGCCTGCTCTGGGCCTGGAGCTTCTCCCTTATGCTCTGACAGGCCCAGAGAGAGAGGTCACTTCCAGGCTGTTTGGTGCACTCACCTGAGGAGTATCAGGTGTAAGGTCCTCACTTTGTTGCCTGTTTTTGTGAAACCCGTGGAGTGTCTTCTTGGCAGAGAGGCACAGTCATTCCTTAAGGGATGAGTGGTGGGGGGCCACTTCAACTGTGGGCTGTGCCCTCAGGGCAGTGTCATTCCTCAATCCCCTCTCTGGCTATCCTAGAAACTAATAGCCAAAACTGTAGGAACATTCCTTCTCTGTTCTCCCTAAGTCGTTTCCAGCCCCTGAACTGAAGGTAAAGTCTCACCATCTTTACCTTTTATATGCCCATGTATTTGCCAATATCAGCTATTGGGAAATCTGTCATTTTGCTTTAATGCTACTGCTGCTGTCTTTCCCTCAGCGGCAGCAGTGGCAGCAGCCGCAGCTTCTGCTTCGATGTCTGATCCCTGATGT